TTTTTGGTTTCTTCTGAAAGCACTGGTAGCACCTCAAAAGGACACAAAAAGATGGATGGGCCCTGCAGTAAAACTCTCACTCCCAAGCTTTAGGTTTTTCTACCTTCTTTAAATAATCGCACTCTCCAAATGTACGAGGAAATGTGAGTTAATTGTTTTCTGTCTGGTGTTTGCAGTGGGCGAACAGAGTTTAATCCTAACCTCCTCAAGTACTCTTGCCAGATCGAATGCAGGTTACGTTTTGTGATTGAACTATATCCTTATTAAGGATGTTTGTTTTGTGATTAATATATAATGAATTAATTTTCCCATTCCATGTCGACTTCCCTTTCTATTTCTGTTGACATTAGAAGTATTACAAAAAAAATGCTCTTCAAATTTCAAAGAAATGGCCTCAAAATTTTGAGTTTACGAATTTTCCCTACATAAGAAAAGTAAGTCAGAAATATTGCAGTTACCTCTTAAAAATTTATAGTTTGATCGAAATTGAAGGATGTTTTTTAAAAAACCGAAACTTCTCTGTGTTCCTTTTTGTAATAACGAAATCCTTAGGAATATATACGTTGTTGTCCCGTTTAGAGTTATGTTGTAGAAATTATTGTGCGAAAATTTATTGGATTGCTTCAGGTTGAGAGCAGTGCAGCCAGCTCAAGTTGTGGGCCCACTTCATGTGGATGACGACGAATCAACTTCCGAGACAGACATTAAACGAAACCATGCCATATCCGTGATGCTATCGAAGCCAATTTTAGCTTTAGAGTTCAATTGCTTGAAAATGAAGGTTGATGCTCCTACTGTGGTTCCACAATAAAAATGTGAGTAACGTATCGCGCTATATAATTTGTAGATTCTGACTCCCCAGACCCCAACCAGTTGGGAATATACTGGGTATGTTGTTGTTGTTGTTGTTGTTGTTGTTGTTGTTGTTGTTTATAATAGTGTTCGGCATTTTGGAGGAGAATGATTTTCGTTTCACTGCACTTTGCACAGTTTGTGTGGACATAGGTGCAATCTTTCGTTTATTTTTTCTCGATTGATCAATTTTAGGACTGTGTGTTAACCAGTGTATGCATAAGATGCTTCTTTCTGGGGAGATTTTCAGTTAAGACTTGAGAAGGGGCTTTGGTAGGAAAAAAATCAAATGGTTGTATGTAAAATTGGATTCAATGGTTGTCTGATGAATTAATGGTTTGTTTTTCTTTCTTTCTTATTATTTATTTATTTATTTATTTTTTCTAAAGAGTTATTGGAAATAGTGGTGACAAATACTGATTTGGTAAATTAAAATATGAAATTAGATGAAATAGAGAGTTTACACATCAGTTTATGGTCTCTCCTCTCTGCAGAATAAAATGAGTTTATGTTAAAAAAAAAAATATATATCCATTCATAAATTGATATTCTTAAATAGATAGATATACTTTTTAGAATAAAATATTTACATAAAATGAAATGTATATATTTTTTTTTTAAATAGTTTAAATTAGATCCATCTAAATAATTTATAATAATTTATCACCTCACAAGAATTAGTCATAATAATTTATCACCTCACAATTCACATAGAACATTGAAGCTCAATTAACAAGCTTTAATTTCACTTCCACTTCACATACAAACCCAGAAGCCATAACCAACAAACCAAATACACAAGCAGCATTAATAAGCATTTGATTTTAAGTACAGAAACACTTGAGATAATAATAATAATATAACAATAACAATAATGT